GGCTTACTGGTGAGTGCTGGGCGGCCGGCAGTGGGCCGCTGGCGAGGGGTGCTGGGGTGCTCTGCCCCACTACGCTCCATCCCTGGGGCCTCCTGCGCGCTGCAGGGTTTTCTTTCTGGGTGTTATTTTCTTAGGAAACCTTCAAAGTGGGCACTTACGGGCTGCTTCTGCTCTGGGCACTGCTCGGCCGCGGGTACCCGGCTCCCTAAACTCGCCCCGGGGTGCTGGGGCGGTTGAACGGATACCGGGGGGCCCCGCCGGTCGCCTTCAGACCCGCTGGCTTGCTGCTGCTGATGGAGGGGAATCGCGTCCTTTTCTGTGCGGAAGCGCTGGGATGCGACTGTACCGTCCCCTCTCATGCCGCCGGTGTGGCACACTCAGCGGTGAGAGGTGAGGACGTGTGAGCAGGAAAGGAATAGCAGCTATACCATTTCGGGGCGAGTATTTTGCATTTCTGAGGTCGTTAGGATGAGCTACTGGGCAGGTTTGTCCTGCCGAAGGTGGCGGGGGAAATGGCTCTCCGTGCCGATGCTGCCTTTGGTCGCATTTGGGAAGCAGATGCGGGTTTGGTTTGGAGCAGACGGTCGCGGCGACACAAGCGCGGTGAGGGCACCGTTGCCGCCAGCTCGCCCCCCGGCAGGTGACACTGCTTCCTGCCGGGCGGCACAAAGCTGTGATTGTCTCCACTATAATTACCAAAATATTCGTGGCCCAGTAAAGCTTGGCCTCAAGTATGCGTAAATCCCTAAAGGGTACAGACTGCTGTCTGCTGTGCTAAATACCGCACGCGTTCTCCGCTGGAGCTTGCCGGAGCAGGTGGATCCAGTGCTGCCGTGCGCTTTGCTCTCTGGTTCTGGCTGCAGAGACCGAAGATAAATGGGACCTCACCCAAGCTCAAAATAAGGAAAAGCCTTTTTAAGCTGCTCCCAGCTTTGGGCATGGATCTCTTCTGAGCCCGGGGTTCATTCTTCCTGCTGTAGGTGCAGTAGATAAAAACGGGGCATAGTCTAAAGCTGGAAGCACGGCCAGAGCTGCTTGGAGCCCAGACCGGTCCCCGCCTGCCTTGACAGCGTCTTTCCTTCCCCTGTCCCAGCTGGTGTAACTGGGAGCAGTCACTCTGCTGCCTGTGCCATAAAACTAACCTTTGCTCGCCACATTTATTAAAAGAAAATCTCTCTGAGGTTTTCCTTTGGTCTTTGATTTTCATTTCTTCGTCTCCTCTGTTTTTTCCTCTCTTCTTTGTCTTTTGAGAAAATTCAGTCTATTCTAAGAACTCACCAAAAATCACCCCCCCCCCCCCCCAATGACTTTCTCCTTGGTACCATGACCTCTTCTGCCCCAAATCTCGCATCCCTGTTCTGCAAACCGTTTGTGATAGCCGGCAGCATCGGTGCTGCTGATCCCCCTTTCTGCTCTCCCTCCTGGACCGGCAGTGTCTGCTGTGGCCTCAGCCCCTCCGTGACCGCAGGAGCCGTGAGCCCGTCCGCTGCGGCTGGAGAGCGGCGGGTGGCCGCTAGCAAACAGGGGTTAGAGGAGAGGTGGAGAGAGGATGGGGAAGAGGAGGGATGGGGATGCTGCTTCATATCTCCAGAAAAGCCACTTATTGTCATGGTTGATGACAACCAGGGCCACGCAGCCGCTCACTGACTCCCCCCCGTTGCAATGGGGGAGAGAATCAGAAGAGTAAAAGTGAGGAAGATCTCGTGGGTTGAGACAGTTTAATAGGTAGAGCAAAAGCCGCTCACACAAGCGAAGCAAAGCAAGGAATTCATTCCCCGCTCCCCACGGCAGGTGGGTGTTCGGCCATCCCCAGGACAGCCGGGCTCCAGCATGCTAACGGTGCCTTGGGAAGACAAACGCTGTCACTCCAAGCATTCCCCTTTCCTTCTTCTTCTCCACCTTTATATACTGGGCACAACGTCACATGCCATGGGATAGTCCTGCGGTCAGTTGGGGTCAGCTGTCCCGGCTGTGTCCCCCCTAAAGCTTTGTGCCCCCCCAGCCCATCACTGGCAGTGTGGGGTGAGGAGCAGAAAACGTCTTGAGAGCTCAGCAACAACCAAAACCATCACTGCGATATCAAAAGTATCATCCCAAATCCAGACCACAGCGCTGTACCAGCTGCTAATAAAAAAGCCAACTCTATCCCAGCTGAAACCATGGCATGCACTTACTGGGAGTGCCCCAACATTTACAGCGGTAGTTTGGCTGGATAATTTATTTCTGTGTACTCGGGAGCAGGAAAAGCCGGACGAGGGATCAGGATACTCCCACTGAGGTTCGGTGGTTGCTGTGCCGAAGGGGTGACCCCGCAGGTACCCAGTGCGTCGGGAGGCGGGTGCGTGCTGGTGGAGCACTGGGGCATGCTGGTGGGGCTGTGCCTGTGCCAGTTTGGTTCTTGTCCCAAAGTGTTCCCAAAGGCGCAGGAGCCGCGTGCCCCGCGTGCGCTGCAGCAGCGTGGGGGGCTGCCGGGGCTGCCGAGCGAGGCAGCGGATGCCCGGAGGGCAGGATAAGTGCCGCGGCTGGCG